AGACAAAGAGAGAGCTAACGAGGGAATTGACAACAGGTGCAGGCAGGACAGAGAAGCAGAGCAAGGGAGGACACAAGAGGGCAGCAGAGGACAACAAAATGGAAAACCAAGAAAAACAGGAACAAACAGACCAAGACTCTGACATAACATATATATATTTATATATATATATATGTATGTATATATATAAATGCAGTATGTGCCTATGTGTAGCAGGTCTTTGAACATGTAACGTACAATCTCTCCTGTTTTGTTTTCACATTTATTTTAGAGTTTTAAACCAATTGAATTTTTTTGTAGAAACGATCTCTAGCGAAGCAAATTTTATTTTAATATTTCTACTATTATTAATTTTATATTTGCACTGAAACCTTGTTCTTTGTTTTTTTCCTCTAAGCTGCGCATGCCCGTTCGGCTTCCATGGCACGTTTTGCGAAGTCAACGTGGACGACTGCGAGGATCACGGATGTGACAACGGGGCCACCTGTGTTGATGGAGTCGGCAACTATACGTGCCTGTGTCCTCCCAACTTCAGAGGTACAGCTCAGCCCGGTCGGATCTACAGTCAGACACAGAGATGATCCAAGATTTAGGAAAACAGAAACTCTGCTCATTGCTTTATGAAAACCGTGTTTCTTTCGTCTTGTTTTGAGGTCTGTTCTGCGAGGAGGAGGATGATGTTTGCTCTCCAGGTAGAAATCCTTGTCAGCATCAGTCCACCTGCGTCAGCAGCCCGTCAGGCCCCAGGTAAAAGCACAGACACACACACACACACATCACACACACACACACACCTTCATCACTGCCAGAATAGGCAAAGTCTCAGATTCAAACTTAGATCAAAGATTGAACATATACTATAATGTGCTGGATTTTGATTTTGAGACCCTAAAATGATGAAGAGTGGCAGGTGATGATGATGATGATGATGATGCTAGTGTGTGTTTTGTGCTGCAGGTGTGTTTGCATCCCTGGGTGGGTGGGACCGGACTGCAGTATAGACTACAATGAGTGCGTGGATCACCGCTGTCAGAACGCGGCTCAGTGTGTCGACCATCTGGACGGCTATAGCTGTGTCTGCCCACTGGGATTCAGGTACTGTACTGGGTGAACTGGGAACTCCTGGAAATGGACTATCCAAAATTCTGCCCTGAAGAAACGTTTTTTGGTTATTTTCATATTATGTAGGAGTCTATGATTCTAGGGGTCGGTCTTTGACAGGTGCTGACATAGACAGGTTTCAGATATTACAGGCTAACGATGGAACCAAACGACCCATTCATCGGTTACCATTTGCATGTTTTCAAGCGATACAAGGCTTTGACTATATAAGACTCAAACTCAAACTCACTGCGGATCCAGACATTTGAATTGAGAAAGCTTCCTGTAGAGGTAGCGAAACGTCTTCAAATCAATTTGATACATACGGTTTCTGAAATGTTTTGCGTCTGACACCTTTTGCATAATTAAATGGTAAAAACTTTGCTCATAATCCTATTGTACACAATCAGATATACCTGATAACAGCCAGTTGAAGACTACACAAAAAATAATCTTGACTTATCGCATAGTAATAAATTATTAATATCAAAAATGTATTTCTGTTTTTTCTTTTTACATATTTTGTTTAAAGGGCAAATAAGGACTTCAAACCAAAAAAAAGTAATTTTCTGTTTTGTTTTATTCTTGGATCGGGCTTTAAAGGGTTAATCACTTGTTTTATTATTTTAAGTCTAATCATTTTTAAAAAAAATTTCAAAATTACTACATGTGTCATATGTAACTGATATTCCTGCCGACATCTACAGAACGCCAGTGTGGTACAATCAAACTCTCATCTAACTTGAAGATCTTCAATAAAGCTGTTTTACCCGATTAATGGGGAGAGGTTCTCAAACATCCCCTCTTCTTCATAACAGCCTTATTTTCACTGTAACAATTATCTTTCTGTTATATCTTGACTCCTCAGTGGTGAGTTTTGTGAGAAGAGAGATGTTCAGCAGACGCCCTGCCAGCTGGCCAAGTGTCAGAACGGCGCCTCCTGTGACGAAAAACTGGGAACTGCGGTCTGTCAGTGTCTGCCCGGCTTTGAGGGCCAAAGTTGCGAGAAGTTGGTTAGCGTCAACTTCGTCGACAGAGATTCTTATGTCCAGCTTCAAGATGTGAAAAACTGGCCTCAGTCTAACATCACATTGCAGGTGAGAAGAAGAAGCAGGGATTCTGTTTGTGGAGACTCACGACTATAACCATCAAGCATAGCGGGGTCTCTCACACGCACCCATTGGTCTGTCTCCTTCGTTTCTTTTAGGTTTCGACTGCAGAAGATAACGGCATCTTGCTCTATAATGGGGACCGTGAGCCAATCGCTGTGGAGCTCCATCAGGGTCACGTTCGGGTCACCTATGACCCCGGGAACAAGCCTGCCACAGTCATCTATAGGTAAATACAACACACAAAAAAGAGCCAGAACCCCACCCTGAGCAGCAATTTACAGGAAAGGTGTATTTAGGGTGTGATCGTCAAAGGTTAGCACATTTTAAAACATGCAGAGGAAATATTTAAATAAAGCTCAAAGGGATTTGCACATGCAATTAATCAGGCAGCACGTGCAAACCTTTTTTTAAATTCATGTAAAAAAAACATTAATCAATGCGCGGATAAAATTCAAATGACTAAACCGTGCCTCCTGCTACCGTTCAGTTCAACCATCTCGGCCTGATCAGCCCTTATCTGTCTGTTTTGCCTGTCATTATTATACCATTCACATTAAACCTTTTTAGAATACCT